GCAGCCGCCCTGGCCCGCCCAGGAAGTGACGTCACCGGGGCGTGCGGGGGTGGGCGGGGCGTCGCGGCCTCCGCAGACACTGAGGTCCGCTAGGTGGCGCCAGGCGCAGCCGGATGGGCGTGGTTTGCATAGACCACGCCCACCCCCCGTCCACGCGGCCGGAAGTCGCTGTTCCAGACGGGTCTTTGGCGGAAGTGGTCGTTGCCAGGTCTCCGCCGCCTTGGGTGCGGGCGCCTCCCGCCAGCGACCCGAGTGCGGGGCCTGGGGCGGGGCCAACTCAGCTGCACCCCAGAGGGCCGCGCTCGAGGGGCGACCCCCCACGTTCCTGCCCTCCTGCCTCGGACTGGCCGCAGCCCTCGTAGCCACAGCAGCGCCGGCAGCTGCGTCGCCGGCTCCGGGCCTGGCTCGGTGAATTCATCGCCGCAGGAGCACGTGCCCTGCTTCGCCCCCATTGTACAGACGCAGAAACGGAGACTCGCAAAATGTGTTTTGTNGCTGCTTCGCCCCCACTGTACAGACGCAGAAACGGAGACTCGCAAAATGTGTTTTGTAGCCCCGCTGGGCGTGGCTCAGCGGTTGAGCCTCGATCTGGGATCCAGGAGATGGGGGTTCGATTCCCCGCCGGGGCACATGCCCGGGCTGCGGGCTCGCTGCCCAGCAGGGGGCGTGCGGGAGGCGGCCCATCAGTGACTCATCATCGGTGTTTCTCACTCCCTCCCTCTCCCTTCCTCTCTCTGAAATCGATAAAGAAATATTTTTAAAAATATATTTTGTAATTGTAAGGCCTGGGATCACAATGGGGGAGCGCAGTGCAGGGTTTGGCTTATTTCAAGCGTATATAACCTGGACGCACAAGAACACTGGACAGGGCCTGCTGACGCCAAAGACAAGCCTTTTACTAAATGCCTGGGATGTGGCTATGGACCATGACCTTGCCCGGTTCAAAATTTATGATCGGATCACCCTGCGAGGTTGCTTTCCTTAGAAGCTCTTTTTCGTCCAGGCCTGGGAGCACACCAAAGGCTTTATTCTCAGACAGTTTTACAGCCTGTCGTGGGGTCCTGGGCCAGGAAACTAAACCAGACATAGAACACTGAGGGTGGCTCTGCTGAGCGACGGGCCCCACCAGTGCTTGGGGCTGCGACAGGGAGTTGGGGTCAGGAGAATGAATGGGGGCACAGAGGCAGAGGAGGGGGAGAAGGGAAACCGTGCACAGGGCACAGAGTGCAAGGTGGTGACTATTAGAGGTGTCCACTAAGAAATGTCCAGACCTATAAAAACTTTTTATGAGTTCATTTGAGCCAAACTGATGACAAACCGTGGGGCCCCAGGCAGCAGATGCAGATACCCCGGGCTCACGGCTCCATCGGGAGCTCTGAGCCGCTGTCAGGAGGGGCCCCACGCGGCCTCTCCTTCTCTGCTCTGAGCTCCCACGCTGCGGCGAGGCTTCAGGAAACTGCCCCCTGTTGAGCTGTGGTGAGGTAAAGACTACACACACTATTCGAAGAGGAGTAGAATATTCCTCTTCCCAGCTGCACAGCTCTGTGCGGCCACATTTTCTCTATGGGCTCCAACCAACGAACATGTTGCAAGAAATTGAGTGCAGAACAGATAGGAGAAGACAGACATTAAAGAGATTTGTAAAAATTTAAAACGGCGTTGCACCTCACATGTTGTTTTGGTAAACACAGCTCTTTTTTCATGACATGTTATTTGCGTTACTACGCAATGGGCTTATTGTTATTTTTAACTGAATAAATAAAGATTTCTCAGTTTTAATTTCTAAAACGGTACATATCAATAGATCAAACCCTTAGAGAGTCTTGGGACCCTGAAAACAACTTTAAGAGTGTAAGGGGCCCTGAGACCACAGGTTTGGGACTCAGGGCTCTACACGCTGTGCTCCACCTCCCTTGGTCAAGCTCAGCCTCGCCCCTGACTTTCCTGCATCTGTTAACTCCTCTCTGCCTTTCAAGGGTCTGTTTTGAAACTCAAAGGCCAAGAACTAACTCCCTTTTGTTCTGTACCTGGCCTGCGTGGGGATTAGCCTGGACACTTCCCTCAGCGCGGCCCTCAGTGTGGTCACCATCCCCGGACCTGCCTGCAGCCCCGTGGCACAGAGCGCACGTGGGCCTGAGAGTTACTCCCTCATTACCTTAGGGGGTGGGGGTGGGGAGAAGAGCATCAGGCTTCATGGAGTCCAGAAAACAGTTTTGTAACATTTAATGAGATGGAAAAATGCTCTTGCAATTAATTTTT